AAAATGCTAAATATGGCAGGGCGGGGCAGGTTAAAAACTTAGTAGGCCAAAGCTTGCCCTACCCTGCCCTACCCCAATTGCCATCCCTAAAGTCATCGAAAAGGAAACCTTTTCTATTGATTCTAAATACTTTTCTACTCAAGAGTTTAAGATATCAATTTGACTTTTTTTATTATATTTTAGTAATACAAGAAAATATTAAAGTAATAGTTGAGATGTTAGTTTGATAGGAAAAACATTACATTGAAATCTAAATTTGAATATCTTAAACTTGAACTCATAAAAGTTGTGAAAGTTGTATAGGATTATGTTGTTAATAGAATGGTGGCGTACATTTTGGAACATCACCAAATTATTTAGAGTTGAACTAATATTGGCATGATATGATTTTAAATGGAGTAACGTGGTGAATGGGGATTCATATAGCCGACCCTTGGATTGGGGCATAGTAGTAGTAGTTGTTGTACCAAATTAAAAAGAGTGTCACAATTTGAGATAGAGAGAGTATTGGGCAGCCAGTGTACAAAGCATCCCGCTGATTCCACGGCTCGAACCCGTGATCTATAGGTGACACGGAGACAACTTGATCGTTGCTCCAAGGCTCCCCTTCAATAGAGAGAGTATTATTCTATCATATAAAAGAACATTTTAGGACCTCAATTTTGTTCTAAACAATATTCAAATTGTTCAAAAATCAACTTGGATCCATTTTCAGTTTAGTATAATAATAACCTGAAATTTTATCATAGTAGTTGCATCCGAACCAAATAAGATACCTAATGGGTTAAGTATGGGCTAATGTGCAAAAGATTAGGAGAATGAAGTGTAGTAAAACATCAGTTAAGTCCTGTAATTGTTGAAGTTAGTTGTAGGATTGTTGGTTCAATTTTTTGACCTTTAGGAGATATCAAGTAGTTACATAGAGACTGACATAGTTATTAGAATTTGTTAAAGTATCTATAATGAATAACCTACAAAAAATCTCCTAGTTTCTTAGCATAGTTATTGAGTGATTCATACACAACATCTCTTTCCTTTATCAAGGGTTCGGTTCGACCTATGTGAACTACTCGATATCTTGGAATCACTACTTAGACTAGAATATACGAGAAAAATCAGAATGAAAGCGTCCTTTTTTTGTTGTTTTAATTGAAATGTTATACTCTGTTACACTAGTGATCTTAATGAAACCATTCATTCAAAGTATGAATTGTCGTACACTGGAATAAGCTATATGTGCTGCTTATGATGGTTTTTTCCTCTGCAGATTACTTGTAGATTTGGCTCCCGAATTCCAGTAATTACTTCAATATCCCAAGGAATTTTTGGAAAAGATGCTTACACTAATGAGTTTGAAGAGGTGAATCTAGTAGCTATAGACTAGAATTTGCTTGGGATTGCATTCTGACATCTTTTTAACAAAAATTAAAGCGGAGAAATGATGTTTTCCCAGGTTCAGTGGGACACATTTGAAGATGACGAGGCTCATGAGGATCTTGGTAATGAGAACCGGGGTGTTCTACTAACTGTTGGTTTCTTGCCAGGATTGACAGTTGATTTAATCCCATTATCAAAAACTCAGGTAATTCTGCACTCCAGTACAATCCAAACATTTTTTTACAATATCTCTACCTTATTGGGAGAAATGTGAACTTCCATTTTTTAGTTTGATTCTCATTTCAAATATATGAAGTGCCTACTTGGAATCTTGAAGGGGGTGAATAGTTTATATATACTAGAGAATTTGTGCTAACTTGATTTAAAATGGGCTACACTAACTTTGGGAGAACAAATTTCAGGGAAATCAAGTACTCATGATTGATGATCTCGTGCTTAGTATCAGGGAACACTCATCCTCTCATTCTGGATCAGCACCACCAATGGGGATTTTATTATTTTCTGTAAGTCGTAAGTCTGTTTAAACCTATTATTTTGTTATTTCTTGCAAAGCAGTATATCCTCTACTTGTCAAAGTGATGATGTCTAATATTCCTTAAATTGTGGATGAAGGGGATAAAGTTAATCCTCATGTAATTCAGATTGTGTATGAGTGACCAGACTAATTAATTTAGACTTTAGAGTGAGTGGGATTAAAAAACTGGAACACGAACTTCGAGGGACACTTGGGGCTTTTGCTTTTCTATCTATGATCAACCTTCTTTCTTTTTACAATAACTGTAATAAGAATCATTTGAATGTTGTTCTAGGACGAGGACACTGACATCAAACCTGTCCTTGAAAAGTTGGGTGAGTAAGCTTCATAATTTTCATTTATGCAATACTTTATTTGTTCATATATACCTTTATGTTGATTCTGTGAGAAACAAGTTATATTTTCAGTGCGCCATTTTGTGTTTGTAGATTATGCTTTTTCCACTGAGACTGTCATTGTGGGTGACGGAGGTTCTCAGTTTTTATACCGAGGTGATACAGCAATTAACCGTTCTAATAACAAAGCGTCCAGTTCAGCTGCTGTTGCTCTTTTATTTTCAACGGATAGAGGCAAGCCTCCTGGTATGCAATTATATCTTAACTGAAAACTTTGCGGTTTCAAATTATAATCCTGTTTGTTCATTAACAAGAGCACTGTTTTATAAGGCATTCGGGTCAGAGAGAACCGGGCCACCAATGCTAGTCTGATATAGAGAGTGAAGAGAAAGAGAGATTGGGCATGTGTATTATTTGGTTTCTCAGTTGTGTTAATAGATAACTGTTTAATAATCAGATGATGAATATACAGGCTTAACTAACCCGAGATGTTGAGTTTGTATGAAATTTTATGATTATTTATGGCTTGAGCACTGTGTAGACTGTAGTGCATCTGACCTGGTGCTATGTTATCCAATGTGCTTTCTGAAATGAAATTTCATTCTCTGTAAACTTTGTAGTTATGCATGAAGTTAAAGTACATATCCTTAGTATTTTTGAAATTATCATAAATTCTTAAAGTTATGCTGATGTTTCTTTTGCAGTTATATGAGTAAATATAGTTAAATATATTAGACTTTTATCTAGTTAAAAGTATTGGATTCCTTGTCTTCTGCTTATACTGTCATCTCTTTAGGTAATTTAGTATATTATATTTCCAGGGAGTTTATTGTGGCAATCATTTTCTGGGAACCTGTAAACAGGTGTTGGGGAAACTCAGTTTCATGTGATGCTATCCACTGGCATTTCACCAATTGGACCTGCGTACAAAGCTGTTTCTGTTAGGGAGAGACCTAAAGATTATTCTACTTGGCTCACCGCGAAAAGAGAAGCAGTTCGCGAGAGTCTGGATGGTCAGACTATTTTAGATCAGATTTATGATGAGGTAAGGTAGTACATCTTGTGAAGTAAATTTAAACCAGTTCCGAAGGAAGTAATTCACAATAAAGGAAATTATCAAATACTTCCGCGTTTTGTGGTGTGTGTATCTCGTCTTGTTTTCTTTTCCTTGATTCCTTCCACCGTAGTGAAGCATTTTAAGTTCAGAAATGCTAGGCTTTGTCAAATGTCAGAACTCTGTTACTCTTGCCTCACTATAGCAGGGAAGAGTGCGCAATGAGTTTAACAAAATGCATTATGGCAGAATGGACATATTTGGATGATTAGAGTTGATATCATGCTGTCTGGCTGATTTGCAAATTCTAATGGTAAAACTCAATGAATCTGAGCATTGCAAATTAAGGTTACAAAAGACTTTACAGAATTATGATTGTGAGTATATCTTTCATCGCATGCACAATTTACAAAAGGTATGTAATAACAAACAGTAGTGAAATTGTTTTTGTAAATCGGGTGTTATTCCTTAATGGTTTAGTAATCTGCTATAAAGCCTAATCTGAAAGTGAAGGTTTCCTGTGAGTTTGAGATGTTTTTGAACTTAACCATGCTTATTTACAACGTAGAAGCTGTCTAACTGATGAAATATTTTGTTCTCCAAGTATACATCTTCCATCACGCGTGTGTGTGTCTGAAACCCGCTGAACAAAATTTCGCACTCCTCTGACTTGAGATGTTTCTTTTCTACGATTTGATTTCACCAGCTCGGTGGTCATATCAATTGTCCAGCTCTCTATGTTGGAGTTACAAAAAGAAGGAAATGCTCTATTGGGCAGGAAAAGCCAAGCTGGATAAATATGCATGAATTCCATGAGGTTTTAAGGTGATTAATGCACCATCACGCTTTATTATGCTTTTTTGGTCTTCACATATGGTGTCTGAATGTTCCTCATTTTGTCATGTTCTGCTCTCTATAGTCTATATAAACAACCTTTTTGGCTTCCTGAGGTCAAGAATATGCAAAGCATGCCGGTGGAGGTTATTCTCCAAAATTTTTCCATAGTTCCTCAAGAGAGTTGTGAAGTCCGCCTGTTACTTAAGTTTGTTTCTGCTAACACAGCGTTTTAGTATCTTGTTGAAATCATTATGCTGAAAGCCTTGTACGCTTTTCCTTGTCCTCTTCACTTCTATAATTAATTGTAATAATTTGCAGAGGTGATGAGGAGTATCTATATGTCCATGGTGTTGGTATCAGAAGTGGAGACTTCTTTCAGTTTTACCAGGCAAAATCTGATTTGGCACGTGTTTCTTGCAACCATGTATCAAACAGCTTCAGACATTTGAGGCAAGATCTTAACTACCAAAGTGATGATCATACTAATGGCAATGGTTTAGATATGCATAAGAAGTCTGTTTTTGGTGGTATTATGTTTGCTTGTTGTGGCCGTGGCAAGTTGTTTTTTGGTGAACCTAATGTAGACGGCTCACCTTTCTTGGAGAACTTCCCTGGGGTTACCTTCTCAGGAACTTACTGTACCGGAGAAATTGCACGTGGAGATTTAAGCTCATATGGACAGGGGTCTCAAGAACACAGCTCCGTACGTTGCTGTTTGCATGTATTTAGTACTGTCTACCTGGTTATGTCATATACCCCTGCATTGCCATAGCATTAGAGATGGCTGGTATTGTATTTGACGTGCTGGTGACTCTTGCTGGTAATGACCGAAGATTCTTGGGGGTTGGAATAGGCTACTGGTCTGTAATTCTTGGTGTTGGAAACTTGGAATATGGTGGAATCTGGCTAATGCTGTGGCTTAGTAGAGGGCAAATTTCTCATGTAGATATTTCGGAAGCTATATGGAATATTTGCTTCTAATTTGTTGCTGTTTTTAGTAGTATTTTTGTGTTGTAAATGACATGAATATTCTGCAAGTCTAAAACATCAAGGGTATTAAGTGAAATGGTGTCCATTCTTTCAAAAGACAAAAATCTAAATAATCTAAACTTTTCTTGGGAATTATGGAGCATTAATTTCAAGGATTTGACAATATTCGACCATCAAAAGAGGGTTGGGGTGTGTGTGCGTGAAGGTTGGCATTCTGCTCAAGATTCCCTCAAAAGATTGGTTCCTCAAAATTATATCAATAGCCCCTTTAATTTACATTGCATATACCTCCCTTCACTTGTTCTTGAACAAGTCTCGCAACCAAATAATGTCTAAATCTGTATTTAACGGCAACAATAACTACGTTTCAGTCTCGAATATGTTGGGATTAGCTATATGAATTTTCACGGCCATGTTAAGTACTAGAAATTCTCTATGTTTCTAACTGGCATAAACATAGGATTAAAAGACTTCTAGAAAGTATAGAATCTAAAGTAAACGTATTAACATGACAAACAAATTCCCAACTAATTGGTATTGCCTATATGTATTTTATTCTTCCATTGTGTCCTATCTTTCGCTAAAGTCTGCATTAATTTAAGAATATTGTTGATATGTATTTTATTCTTCCATTGTGTCCTATCTTTCGCTAAAGTCTGCATTGATTTAAGAATATTGTTGATCTTTCGAGACATAACTGTATATTAATCAATCCAAAGAATGAACCATAATAAATACCTTTTTAAAGGTAATCTTTATTCTTAACTAGCATTTAGGTTTTGCTAAAAAGTTTGAGCTTTTAGACATGCTCTATTGCAGTTTCTATGTCTTGCTAAACGTTGTTTTTCATCACAAGCCAATGCAGAACCAGATGGTCATGCAAACTTGTAGTAAAGGAAATTTTTTTGTACTTGTATACATCTAAAGCAGGCATTGATGAGAAGAACTTTCATTGAAATGTTAGGTTTTTGATTGGTGTACAACAATGTGCTTCTATAAGGTTATTCATGGTTCGAAAAATGAAGATTTTGCGTCTTTGTGCCCCC